CTTCTTCACTGCAAAGTGTCTAGCCCTCTCCCCTACGAAATCCTCCGGGACCCTGTTCACAACCTGAACGAAGGAGGTCAGGCTACCGCTGGGGATTCACGTCGATGACACACCAATTCCGACGGTGAATAACCCCAAAATACTCGGAGTAACATTCGACAGCCTGCTCTCCTTCTCTGCGCACGCAACCGCTATTGTCAATACAGTACAGAGCCGCAACAGGGTCCTCAATTCGCTAGCCGGCAGTACTTGGGGCAAAGACAAAGAAACGTTGCTGGCAACATACAAGGCAATAGGCCGGCCGGTTTTGAACTACGCAGCGCCAGTGTGGTCGCCAGGGACTAGTAGGACGCAGTGGACGAAGCTACAGACGGTACAAAATACGGCACTTAGGACAGCGACGGGATGCCTCTTGATGTCGCCTGAACACCACTTGCACGGCAAGGCGCAAATGCTCCCAGTTAAGGAGCATAATATAATGCTCTGCAAGCAGTTCCTGATCGGGATCCACAGAAGTGGCCACCCAAGCAGACAGCTGCTTGCAGAGGAGCCCTCGCCTAGGCACGTCAGGAGGCATCTATATGAACGAAGTCCAGAGGTTCATTAAGCAACCTCTGGACCCGACAGCGTACAGACAGGCCCTGAACGGCATTCACAGGGACTCAGTCTCGAGTTATGTAGACTCTAGACCTGTGAATGCCGTTCTAGGCATACCACCCCCGGACATAGACGAGACAGAGCTTCATCTGCCTCGGGAGACACGCACTACACTCGCACAACTTCGCTCCGGCTACTGCAGCAGGTTGAACTCCTACTTGAGTAGGTTGAATGAGGATTTGCCGAATGAGTGTCCGGCATGCGGAGAGACCCCACATGACTCGAAACATCTCTTCGCATGCCCGGAAAACCCGACAACCCTAACGGCCTTGTCCCTGTGGACAAATCCCACAGAAGCTGCACACTTCCTAGGGTTGCACACTTCTGGGCGGGGTTGTTGTAGCCGCTACAACAACAACAACAACAACAACAACAACATTATATCCCTTACCAAATAGAATTCTCCTTTGGGTGTGCACCAACTGGGGCTACCGCCCCAGTGATGTAGCCTTGGGAAAGGATGATGTAACTATAATTCCCTCTCTGTGTGGTAAACCTGGGGTTTTGCGTATTTCCTTTTGTCTTTATCCTTCGTGTATATTGTTTGTGTTTGACAGCTCAGCTCCGCTATATAATTTGCACATACAATCACAGGCGCACGGGTGATTTTCGTAGCAATTTTAATTAATAAATTGGGACGAATAAGTTTGAACTAAATGAATAAAACAACTAACAACTAATAGTGTAATGTGTAAAGTAAATATAAACATAAAAATTAAGATATTAAGTGGCTGCTTTAAGGCAGAATAAGAGTAATCAGTGTACGTATATTTCGCAAATTTGCAACAAATACCATATTTCCAACCGACATTATTGTTAAATTAGTGCACAGATTTAGTAAATTAAATTTTGTAATAAAGCTTGAACTGTTGTCTACGAGTGTGTGTAAAAGGTTTTTGATTCGATTCACGCGTTTGGGCACAGTAACCCAAAATCGTTGTACAAATTGATAAAGAGAACCCAATTGAAATACTATTTTTAGCATATCCAATCAGCTGATGAATTTGATTCTGAAGCTGAATAGTCTAAGATCTCGACACTCCTGTTTCCACTACTCGGCACTAAAGAATTAAAAAAAAAGTCCCGTACGTCATGCGGACTGCGCCCCTCGTGTCGGTTGGGCGGGAATGCAGAGTAAAAAGCGGTTGGGATTAATTAATTTCCAATGGTTCCCCAGGGGCATGTTGAAGGTTTTCAAGGGATCGGGAGGTGACTTTACAAGGTTTGATTTGTGTTTTTTTCTAGTGGGTTGGATATCAAGTGCCACGCCGCCTCCCCTACGCCCTCTAACACAAAAACAGTGCGCAAATAACTAAACATTCTCCTTATATCATAAAAGCAGAAATTTGACGTCCCCATTCTTATGCAAACCTTAATCTTTTTTATCACTATTTATGCACAGCTGTATGTTAGTGTGTAACTTACTGTCACGCGAACACTCAATCTCTGCCAATTGCCGCTGCAGCTCAGCAACAACCATTTTCTTGTACTCATAACCTGCACAGGTCAAAGCCTTCATCCAGGTCTCCATACACTCCTGAGAATCTGCGCTTAAAATATAAGTACGATTGCCATTGAAAGCTATTTCAAAACAATATTGGTCACTTTCTTCCGATAACTCTGTAATTAATCAAACAATTTAGTTAATCTCACTCATCACTCATTGCGCATACTTACCTATGGTACAACCCTCTACAATTATTAGGCCTAATGGTTCTTTATCGCCTTTCTTTTCAAAATAAAAAAGTAAGTTTCCTTTAAGCACAAAATATCTTCGTTGAAAAGCCTTGTTCACCTCTCCCCTTTTATTTAAAAATCCTTCGCAATCAAACGGAGGACTGGTAGCGAAAACACACAAGTTCTTTTCGTTGATCTTCATTATTCTACATCTACAATAGCCCTGTTCGCGTACACACTATCCAGTAAATCCAGTACTAATTTTACTGGTTTTTTACCGGATGTCGTTTTCGTATGCAAAAACTTGCAAAAAACTAGCAAAAGAGGGGAAATTGAGAGAGCAAAAATGACAGCTAAACTTGCAAGTTTTACTGGATTTTTACTGGATAAATTTTTACTTGCAACTATTTGCTAGTAAGAAAAACAGCTGATGGCGTGAAGCCATGAACATAATAGGGCATTCGCACGTGCCGATTTTGCAGGCAACTTTTAGTTGAAAGCAAAAATCGCATCGTCCGAACGGCCTTTCAACTAATCGCTTTCAACAAAGTTGGTCGCCAGCTAACTTTGAGCTCGTTCAACTTTTTTTCCTTGCAACCCTGTGTTTGTTTACATTCTGTATCAGTGTTGGAAAATAAAATTGTTCCTTCAGTACGAAATCCATACAAAAAATGTACTTTTCGGCTATAAATTGTACATACTTTTTAATTCGCTCATATATTTTCTTAGTATATTCCCTTCAAGACCAATGATTTTATGGTATTCATGAGAAAGTTTTATTGTTTATGTACATACGTTTATGTATTTTACACTTTTACAAATTGATTCCACGCGCACATGTACTGCATTTAACGCAAATATGTAGGCACCCTGAAATTGTGCATATGGAAACTGTGCATACGAAATAATGCATATGAAAAAAACTGAAATAATGCATACGAAAAAAACCGAAATAATGCATATATGCACAGTTTCGGTTGAAAACCGAAATAATGCATATGAAAAAAACCGAAATAATGCATATATGCACAGTTTCGGTTGAAAACCGCAATAATACATATTAGGTTAGGTTAGGTTACACTGGCCGGCTGTTGCGCCTTACAT